CTCTGGTAGCATAGTGCCTAAGGCACTTGACTGCTAACCAGAAGACTGGAGGTTCAAACCCACCAGCCACTCCTCGGAAGGAAGATGGGGCAATCTAATGATACTGCCTCGGAAACCCAAGGAGGGGTCACTATGAGTCGTATTCAACTTGAGGCAGTGAGTTTGGTTTGGTTTGAGTCGAGTAGCTCTGGTGGCGCAGTGCCTAAGGCAGTTGACAGTTAACCAGAAGGCTGGCAGTTCAAGCCCACCAGACACTCCACAGAGGGAAGACTGGGCAATCTACTTCCCTAAAGATTTACCGGTTTGGTTTGGTTTAGAAAAGCCTAAAGAGACCTGATTAAATGTAGCATGCTGTTCAGGAAGGGATCCTGGAGTTCAAAAAGGACATTAAGTAAAACTAATTAAATCTAAGTATGGACTTTAGCTAATAATAATGTATCAATATTGGTTTATTAGTTGTGACAAATGTATGACAATAATAGGATAACCAAAAAAACCAAACCAAACTCACTGCCATTGAGTCAGTTCTGACTCATAGCGACCCCCATTGGGTTTCCAAGGCTGTGCATCTTTAGGGGAGCAGACTGCCTTCTCTTTCTTCCATGGAGCAGCTGGTGGGTTCAAACCACTAGTTAGCAGTCAAATGTTTTAACCACTACACGACCAGAGCTCCTTAAGATGGTAACAGTAGAGGAAAATGGGTGTTGGGTACATAGGGATACTCTGTATCATTTTCTCAAACTTTCCAAAGCTATTTTAAGGTAAAATTACATTAAAAAAGTGAACCAAAAAAAAAAAAAAAGTAAGAAAAGTAAGTAATTGTCTGGAACTTCAAAGAAAATGGTGTAAGATCTCATTTCTACTTAGTCAATATTGTTTAAATTATTTTTTTTAAGTTGTTGATTATAGAAGGAAAAAGTCTAAAAAAGTTTTACAGCTTAGTGCACAGATTCCTTTTTTAAAATAGTCCCCTTGGACACAATGTATAAGCTATTTAGTTAGACATTATTAATTCCGCACAGAAATTATATGTGGAGACAAAAGAATTTAGAGGCTTTCTGAGATGTTGGTCCTGAGTAATTTAATATAATAATCACCATCAAAATGAAATTTCTCTCTTGACCCCTCCTTTTTTATAGGCCTAAACAAACAAGGTTTACTTGTAAGGGGCAGAAGGCAACAGCTGAGGATTCATGTACTTAGTGACAGCTGACACGCTCTGTGCCCTGATCTTTTGCGTGTTCTTCATGTTTAATTGTACCACTTGCTATATAAGTGTTTTTAGATCCTTACAAAAGTGCAGAGGAATGGCAGAGAAGGGACAAAGTCATTACTAAAGGTTGCCCGTCATATTTTACCTCTAATCTCATTGTGTTTCTTTTACCACATGGTCAGGGTTTGCCACACATGAATCTGTTACTTATATGATAGTAGGTTTTTGTATTTCTTTTGGCTAAAATACCTGTCTTCCTCCCCCCACTTCTATTGTGGTGAAAATATACACACCAAGACATTCACCAACATGAAAACAGACATTTACAGCTCAGGGACATTGAGGACATTTTTCATGTTGTGCCACCAGTATTGCTATC